AAATAGAGAGAGATAAAATTCAAGTGTCCTTATTACTGCAGAAGCAGAATACTGGCATTGGAAGTGTGTGGCACAAGTACTTTTGGTTAAAAACAACAGTTTTGAATTGATTTAGGATAACTTAGGCCCATTGCCAATTTATTGTGACAATACTAGTGCTATTTTACAATTTCCAAAAATCCTATCAACATTCTAGAAACCAAACACATTGAAAATAAGGCAGTCATTTCATAAGGGATATGTATCTCAAGGGAGAAATTGAACTTACTCATGTTTCAATTGAAAATAACTTGCAAACAATTTTTAAAAAACCTTTAGCCTTTGAGTACTTTCAGGTACATTAAGAACAAGGCTTGGTGTAATTATTTTGAATGCTTTAAATAAAATATTTTTGCAACATTGATATTTATGTTTTCGTAGTTTATGTTTTATGGTTTTTGTTTTTGTGATTTTTTTTTTTGTTTTGTGTGTTTTTGAGTGGTTTTTTTTTAGAGTCTGTGCATTTGTTAAGTTATGTGAGTTTGTGTTTTGTTTGTGTTTGTTCTAAACTTCAGTGTATTTTCCTTTAGTATGATATTTAGTAAATATTTATAACTTTCATTAATATCAATATATATTGTAAGTTACTTTAAAATTGGATTGTTTTTGAAATGTGTTAGTTTTATGACATTTCATTAGTCTTATTTAATTCTTTAATGTGCTTAAATTTAAATTTGTAATTTGATATTAATTTTCATTAAGAAAATCTAGTCTTTCTAAATTTTAAAATTTGTTATATAACTATTATATATTAGAATTTTTAATTTCATGTCTATTCATTTAGACTACATAAAAATTAATTTTATTGATTGCAATTTAGATGCTCTTAATTATTTGTCATGCGATTTAGCACATTAAAAAAATTTGAAATTTTAGATTATTGATCTTGAGATAGAGTTGATTTCAATTACTCTTAAAAAATTGTACAAAGAGTACAAAAATCAAAAAGAATGCACAAAGGTTCGCAAATGTGAAAAAAGAGGCACAAAATAAGTCCAATGTAAAAAGATGCACAAAAAATGTGTGTGCCAAAATTTTTGAAAAAAGATGAGCAAAGCAGCACATGTGGTAATTCTTTTCTTTCCAGATTCTTTCAATCTCTTAATTCAAATTGATCTTATGTTCATTTATATTTCTATTAAACTTTGAAATATAGAATTTATAATTCATCTCTCTTTGTAATGATTTACTTATCTCAATGTCTAAATTGAATCTGTCTTTGATAAAATTCTTCTTACTTATAATGTTATATCACTTCTTAAATTCTATGAATTTCTATGAATTTATCTAGTTATTAGTTTTAGATTGCATCACCTTGTTGTCAATCACTATTTAGATTAATATTTTTCAAATGAATTTCATATAATTTACATACATTTCTTGTCTATTTCTCTTCACTTTTTGTTGTTGTAAAAAGGGGAGTAATTATTGTGTTTTGTATTTTGTTTGCATTTGATTTTGTGTTATGGCTTGTGTTTTGTCTTGTATTTTTGTTAAATGGCTTGTGTTATTGTCTTGTATTTGTTTAAAATTTTTTGAAAATATTGTTCTTTAGTTCAAAATGCCTTTGCCCATATCTTTTTGCTTTAGTCATGATGTTCTCACTAGCATTGCAAGAGATGTATCCTTGGTGTATGCTTTTGCTGATGATATTCTTCTTGTTGATAAGACTAGAGAGGGAGTGAGTTAAACTTGAATATATGGAGGTCAACTTTTAGAGTCTAAGGTTTTCGCTTG